CAGAGATCACCTCTATGAGGATGGATTTTGTCTATAAATAAATAGCATCTCTGGTGAGTATGATGTATTTAATTTAAATTTTGTATGTTTCTGTCATGTTATTAAATCAATATTGATTCTGAACTGCTCCAGATGATGTACGTGGCACAGTTGCGGTTGTAGTGTAGAGGTTTTGGAGTTGTCTTAACTGAGTTTCTTGCTTTAGTAAAAATGGTATTCACCCTCAATACACAAAATACCTCTTTCTCTGGAATGTCACGCTTCGTTATATTGCATTTTTGTATAGTATTGATGGTTTCTATAATTGCAACATACAGTGGCGTTATTAAAAGATAAATTAAGTCCCCACTAAAGGCCCAGGTACCAAGTGCATGGCCCGCCACTGGCCTCTTTTATCATTGTGGTTTATAGAACAAATGCTTTTTGGGCCCCATGAGGATTTTTTATTGCAATACTGTGAGTGGCCGCTGAGCAAACTGGCTGAACGGCTGAGTGACAGTGCCCAAGGTTTTCCATCACTTTGATTTTCAGTCAAAAAATGGTGGCTGCACTGCCACAAGTGCCATCTAGCAGCTATTTTTTAAAAAAAAAGCAACTGTACACAGACATCTACTCACAATGCACTCTAGATTGCACCGACAGTTACTTTCATGCTACTTGGACCTGCCAACCAGTTCATTCCCTCTGGATAGTAGTGACAGAGAGACTCTCCACCATCTTGGGCTGTAGAATCCCTCCTTCTCCATCACTTTGCTTACTCGGTAATATCACAGATGTTGACCACCTACCAATTAAATACAAAAACCCACTCTTCATTTTTCTAGCTATTGCCATGGAAACGATCTTTCAAAACCATACATAAACCACTGGACCAACCTTCTGACAGAATACATCATATTAGAGAAAATGACATCCACTCACGAGAATAGTTTATCAGCTTTTTATGACACATGGAACCCATTTTTAACACATTTCAACTTGAACCAAACACCTGGAGCTGAGGCCACACACATTCCCACCAACCTCTAAAAATGTAACAAGCTGATTTTATTAGTAGTACTGTTATCATCATTTTTATTGGTAATGTATTTATTTTTAATTTTCCCTCCTTTTCCCTTTCTTGCATTTCATAGACTGCATAAGTTGGAAATACCCACACTTCACACACTACAATCTTGTAAAACACTCTATATCCTTTTGTAATATAATGTAACTGTTGTCTTGTCTCCCATGTTCGGTCCTGTTTTGTTAGTGTTACTTTGTTTCAATAAAAAAGGAAGAAAAAAAAGCAACTGTACAAACATAGCTGTACGTAACATGCATTAGGATATAGCCTACACAGACTACATAAGCTCTTTTTATTCTCAAGTGATATCACTAACATTTAAATGAAGAGATAAAACTGACTTACCTGTAGCGGCCAAGTTGAGCCTAGGTCTTAATAATGAACAGAACTCAGCCGCACGGTGTAAAACGGACAGCAAACGTCTCTTACTGGACCTGCCAACTCTGGTCTCCACTGATCCATTGAGCGGCTTCTACATCTCACTGATGTCCGATGGAACGATGGCGCGCTACTACATCGTCCGACATCTCAGCCAATCACGTCTGTCACCTGCTTCACGGGCGCTTTATTCACTCCCTGTTTCCTAGGTGACGGAAGTAGTGGCGCGTGGCCAGAGGGCGGACACCTACACAGCAGAGCCAGCTTGTATAAATAAGGTAGGCCCGTTATAAACGTTGGTTCACGCCAAACACAGGCCTGAAAATAGTCATCCGACAGAAAAAGCTTTGAAAACTTGTATACTTTGTAGGCTTCTTTATTAAGTATTTGTAGCTTTCCCTTTATTTATTTATTTCATCTAGTTAATTCTGTTATTGTTTTTACCCCTGGCGCTGTTCTGTTCGGTTATGTTTTCATTATGTGTTATTTCTATTTTGTGAAATAAAGTATACATACATGCATATACCAAGGGCTGAAAGAAGAGCTAGAAAAGATGTGTAAGGTGAAGGCACAAGTGGTCCCCGTGGTAATAGGACCATTGGGGGCTGTGACCCCCAAACTGGGAGAGTGGCTCCA